GGGGGGGGTTGGGGTTTAAGGTTTAGGGTTTAGGGTTTCGGGTAGAAGGGGGTAGTAGAAGAACCCGTAGTAGAAGAACCCTTGATTTATGCAGTGGAAGCAGCAAACCTTGCAGAAGCTTGCAACTTGTATCCTTGAAGTCACAGTATCAAAAAGAATGGAGTGCCTTAAAAAAGGGGGTATCAAGGTTATATAGGGCTTTTGTTTTGGCTTAGGGTTTAGGGAGTAGTGTTTAAGGTTTCCCAAAACCCGTACACTGTACAACCCCCTTTTGACCCAACTCTTCAAGGGACAAAGATCCTGATGAAAAAATACTCAAATTGGGGTCCATGCCGCGGATGGAGGAAATCTTGCATCACTTAGGCATCACTTAGGACCTTCAAGAAATTACAACTATTGGGGTCTAAATTGCAGTAGATGGTGCAAGATGTCCTCCATCCGGGTTCTGAAAAATCTGAAGCCCCCTCCTTGGTGGTTCGTTACAACAAGGAGTGTACAGGTTGGGTAGAACATATGCGCGCGACACTCTTGCAACCTTGTTTTTCCAAATACCTATATGAATATGATATTTTTGTCTAGAACTCGTGTACGACTATAGGATCGTAAATTCGGGGGCTGGGGTTACCACAATCCTCAACTCCCATATCATTACTAGAGGCGGTTCCGAGTTGCGTCGGGAGTGTTGACCACGAGACAAAGCGGCCGGATGGCATACGCCATTTTAGCTCCAGTAACGACCAGAAAGGTGAAGGTGTTTCGTAGCGTTCTGCTCCATTGATCCGCGAGGATGCTTGGTTTGCGCGTAAATCTGGCTCTGTGAGCAGAGGTAGGAGTGGTTTGCGCAAAATTGACACCGTGCAACGACTGCCTGGGTTGCTGTTAAGGAACTTAAATTAAGTCACTATATTGGGGAAGCCCTATTATTTACTACATATACCCATTATGGTAACTTAATGTAAGTTCCTTAACAGCAACCCAGATGATGGGTTGCTAGGTTGGACGTCTGCTGACGCCGCAGCAGAGTAATTACAACACGTCCCAGCAATCGTGCACATGTTGTGGTGAGTCGCCAATGGCTCCGATGATGTACAATCTCCACAGGTATCATGATGTCTGGCAGTGGCGTGAAGCCGTCACAATGCTCCACCGTGTAGTCCGTCATTGGCAATGATTGCACAATTAATGGGGCCAGAATGTAGCATGTGTAGGAGGTGGGTGCCCGCATATAAGGCTTACATACCGCTTGTATGGCAAGATTGACAAATATGCCAGGGCTGTATAAGTCTTATGATATCGCCTCGCCTCAGGCATTAGATGAGCCGTGTTTTTGTAGGTGATACCAAATAACAGCCTGCTTTTATTCCACAAGTCAACGGGTGAAGGGGGTTCTGCATATTACATGGTAACCTCTTTACCCAAACTCCAAGCGACAACCCCAAACCCGTCCGAATGCTTGTAACCGAAAGCTCCTAGCCCTAAACCCTAAGCCAAACCAGTAATTTTCAACCCTAAGCCGTCTAGGCCCGACAGACCACATTTAAGATATTATGCCCCCCAAACCCTAAACCTCTAGACCCTAAACTAACCCTAAACCCTAAAGCTCTAAATCCTAAACCTCTAAACCCTAAACCTCAGGTGACGCACGATCCTCGGCCTGCACGCTGCGACTCCTGGGAGTTTCAGCTATGGTATACGCTGGGTTGGCCCCTAAAACCCTTTGAACAGATGTTTGTACATAGGGTCCCCGTTTTAAAGCCATGAGGGATCATAAGACATATCTTGAAAACCTACTCAGTAAGTCTAAGGTTTGGAATTTGGGCTTTAGGGTGTTGCTTGGGGGTTAGGTGTGGGGCTTGGAGTTTAGGGTTTTAAGGTTTGCCTGGGGTTTAGGTCTAGGGTTTGGAGTTTAGAGTTCAGGGTTGGGTCAGGCTTTTCTAGGGTTCAGTGTTTTGGGTTTTGTGCTCTCCCTTGCAGAGCCATGGAACCCCAAGTGGGGCCCTGTGAAGAAAACAGTCCTTCTGAAACGAAGCCGTATGTGTTTTGCTTAGAAAAGGGTGACGCCTAGGACCACAAGTGGTATATGGGTTGTTGTCAAAATTACTGGCCCCTTTTGGTTATTGGTTATTTTACGGCACCAAATATTTATGGGTACCAAAATGGGAACCTAATTTTAGGAACTACCCATATGGAGATTAAAACGTTGTTCTGGGATCCCTTGAGGATGTATCTAGAAAATGTTACGAAAAGAGAGTTTGGTGCATTGTAACAGCCCATAACCGTAAGAGGAACCCTATTTCAGATGCTCCTAACTGTCTTTCTGCAGGCTTGTCCTAGCTACTGTATAAGTAGAATCATAATCCCAGCTGTAGCCAAACACGACTTCTCATTAGCCAGCGAGAATTTAGGGACGAAAGTCCTTTCCACTGGTAGTGTATGCCGAATTTCTGCCGAGCTTTCCGCTGGTGTACCCTAAGCCCGAAGCGCGAAACCCTAAACCCGTTTAGGTGTTAGGTTCTGAGAAACCTAAACCCACGGGCAAACTGCTGTTGCAGCCCTAGAGGTAGTCTTGCCCTTCCCCCGAAAATCCCGAGTTTCTCTGAAGTAAGGAAATGGAGTTGTGGGGTTTCTAATCTAAGGGTAATTGTGATAGTAGATAGACTTCCTGAGTCAAAAGATCATCTAAGCAAGTCTACAAGCAATACATGGTAATTTCCCAAAATAGGGGACCCCAATATAGACCCAAGAATACTATGGACCAACGCCCTTTCAACTGGTAGTGTATGCCAAAGTTCTGCTGAGCTTTCCGCTGGTGTACCCTAAACCGTAAGCCCAAACCCCTAAACCCATTTAGGTGTTGGGCTCTGAGAAACCTGTACCCATGGCAAACTGCCTGTTGCCCTTCCTCGGAAAACCCCGAGTTTCTATGAAATAAGGAAATGGAGTTGTGGGGCTTGTAATCTAAGGGTAATTGTATAGACTTACTGAGTCCAAAGATCATCCCAGCAAGTTTACAAGCAGTACATACTTTGGGCCTAAACCCTCAACCCTATACCTAAAAGTAGCACCTGCTGAGGGCTGCTAAGATGCCTAGGGTACAGTAGTCCCTACAAAAGGACTATATAATGCGAACCCCATACAGCGAGCCCCAAGAGGTAGGTATATTCCTACTATATTCTTGGGGTTCCCTGTTTGGGGTTCCCATTATAGAGTCCTTTTACCCTGAACCCTAAACCCAGAAGAACCCCGAAATCCCCTCCCCTATTCCCAACTTTCGAAGCCTAAGCCCTAATCCCTAAAGCCTAAATCCTAAACCCTGAACCCTAAACCCTGAACCCTAAACCCTGAACCCTAAACCCTGAACCCTAAACCCTAAAGCCTAATCCCTAAAGCCTAAACCCTAAACCCTAAACCCTAAACCCTAAACCCTAAACCGAGTCTTAGGCACCTTGAAGCTCAACGGTTTAGGGTGCCGCCCACTTTGCTATTGACAGGTACCATGGAAC